TCAGGATTCTCTCCTCTTAGACGATAAAGTGGCGATGTTAGATATTTGCTTGCATTGTGTCGTTGACTCTACAACATTTCTTTACATGGAGCATGCATGCAGGGACAGAGGAGAATAAAAAACTCTCTTTTAACAGGAAAAACTTCCAGCAGAAGGAGAACCAGGCTCAGTGTGAGCGGCCTTCAGCTGAGGCCTACTAGGGTTCAAGGAGAAAAAAGCTGACATGTAAGAAAAAACATAGAAGCACTGATTCAAGAATACTTTCTGTTTTAGAAAAGTGAATAGCTCCACAGTTGGCTCTGGCCAGGAAAGAAACAGTTAAACAGACAAGCTCTGAGCCAGTTTTCATGTCAATGATGAAAAAGAGCATATACAGGTGCTGGTCATAAAATTAGAATATCATGAAAAAGTAGATTGATTTCAGTAATTCCATTTAAAAAGTGAAACTTGTATATTATATTCATACATTACATACAAACTCATATATTTCAGATGTTTATTTTGTTTAATTTTGATGATTACAAATGACAACAAATGAAAATCTCAAATTCATCATATCAGAAAATTAGAATATTACTGAAGACCAATAAAAACAAAGGATTTATAGAAATGTTGGCCAACTGAAAAGTATGAACATGAAAAGTATGAGCATGTACAGCACTCAGTATTTAGTTGGGCCTCCTTTGGCCTGTATTACTGCAGCAATGCGGCGTGGCATGGAGTCGATCAGTCTGTGGCACTGCTCAGGTGTTATGATAGCCCAGGTTGCTCTAATAGTGGCTTTTAGCTCTTCTGAATTGTTGGGTCTGGTGTATTGCATCTTCTTCTTCACAATACCCCATAGATTTTCTATGGGGTTAAGGTCAGGAGAGTTTGCTGGCCAATTAAGAACAGGGATACCATGGTCCTTCAACCAGGTACTGGTAGCTTTGGCACTGTGTGCAGGTGCCAAGTCCTGTTGGAAAATGAAATCTGCATCTCCAAAAAGTTGGTCAGCTGCAGGAAGCATGAAGTGCTCTAAAACTTCCTGGTATGTGGCTGCGTTGACCCTGGACCTCAGAAAACACAATGGACCAACACCAGCAGATGACATGGCACCCCAAACCATCACTGACTGTGGAAACTTTACACTGGACTTCAAGCAACGTGGATGAAGTGCCTCTCTTCTTTTCCTCCAGACTCTGGGACCTTGATTTCCAAAGGAAATGCAAAATTTACTTTCATCAGAGAACATGACTTTGGACCACTCACCAGCAGTCCAGTCCTGTTTCTCTTTAGCCCAGGCAAGACGCTTCTGACGCTGTCTGTGGTTCAAGAGTGGCTTGACACAAGGAATGCGACAGCAGAAACCCATGTCTTTCATACGTCTGTGTGTGGTGGTTCTTGAAGCACTCACTCCAGCTGCAGTCCACTCTTTGTGAATCTCCCCCACATTTTTGAAGGGGTTTTGTTTCACAATCCTCTCCAGGGTGCGGTTATCTCTCTTGCTTGTACACTTTTTTCGACCACATCTTTTCCTTCCCTTCGCCTCTCTATTAATGTGCTTGGACACTGAGCTCTGTGAACAGCCAGCCTCTTTAGCGATGACCTTTTGTGTCTTGCCCTCCTTGTGCAAGGTGTCGTTGGTCGTCTTTTGGACAACTGTCAAGTCAGCAGTCTTCCCCATGATTGTGTAGCCTATAGAACTAGACTGAAAGACCATTTAAAGGCTTTTGCAGGTGGTTTGAGTTAATTAGCTGATTAGAGTGTGGCACCAGGGGCCATCAATTTTGAACCTTTTCACAATATTCTAATTTTCTGATATGATGAATTTGAGATTTTCATTTGTTGTCATTTGTAATCATCAAAATTAAACAAAATAAACATCTGAAATATATGAGTTTGTATGTAATGTATGAATATAATATACAAGTTTCACTTTTTAAATGGAATTACTGAAATCAATCTACTTTTTCATGATATTCTAATTTTATGACCAGCACCTGTAACTGAGGTATATATCCAGAAAATTATTTTACAGAAAATTACTGAATCATTACCTGTGAAACGTCAGGGACGTTGCTGAATAAGTATACTGGAGAGTAGTAGCATCATCACGCAGCATGTTATTGTTTTAGACAGGTCTGAGCATCCTGTACTCCAAAAACTGCAGTGATATTAGACAATTGTGTGTGTAGGATTAATTACCTGTCCAAGAGAAAACTGGCAACTTGAGCGTCACTTTGAAAACCTTTTTCCTCCATCAGTGACTTCCATCGTGTAAATGCCGTGCCAATGTTGATCCGTGTTTTTTGTGGTTTCTTGTCACGCTTGCGTTTATTCTCGTCGTGTTTCCGCTTCTTAGATGACGGGGGTTCGGTGTCCGCCGCTTTTGGTTGTGATACAGAGTAGGCATGATTCTCCATTCATCTGATGTTTGGCCACACAGTGCCAAACAGTTTGCAAAGTCACTCACGCCTGCCGCCTTGTTCACCTTTCTTGTTACTGAGGCGCAGTATACCTGCTTCTTCTTCTTCTTTGGTTTCAGGCAGACTAAACGCTTCTCAGGCATAATACTGCCATCTACTGTTCAGTACCATCTCAGTTAATCTCTCTCAACTTGCCGTAGTTACTTTCGAGCGTCATGGGCAATCTCGCAATCGCTAGTTTGTTACCTCTGCGCTTGCCTCTGCGCAAAGATGTCAGCCTCCATGGCTGCGAGACCCGCTCCTATGTAATTATAAATAACGAATTCTAAGGCAACGCAAATATTATGGTTAAAAGGCTGAGCTCATAGGTGATGATAAATAACATAGTTATGTATAATATATTAAATTTCTGACTTTATATGCCTGTAATTATTACACACTGTAGCTTTAATGGCCAGGTAGATGTCTTCTCCTTTGGTAGTGGTCTGCAGGGGAGTCACACCTAAGAGGTCTTCACAAAACTGATTTTTCTCCCTGTTTAAGAATCTTATGTAAACCAATAGTTGAGCATTGTCAGACACATCAGTAGATTCATCCACAGCCAGGCCAACACACGGTGCCTTACAAATAGCTTCTTCCAGCTGGGACAGTGAATCTTGAGCTAGTATCTCACTTCTCCTTGTGGCTGTGCAGGCTGACAGGGGTATTTTCTCTATTTTGTCACAGAGCTCATCTTTTTCTTTACCATCAAGTAACGCCTCTGCTATTTCAGTCATGCACTCTTTGACAATACTTGCATCTGTAAAGGGCTTTTTGTGTTTCCCTAAAACCCAAGCAACACGGAGGGAACATTCATTAGCACGCTGTTGTGCGCTGAAAGCACGGCTTAATACCCTGGTGGACTGATCATATTGGGCAGTGAGACTTCGAATTTTCTGCGGCCGGAGTTCGGACTTAGTGGTGTATGATTGGTCAAATGCTTTGTACTTAGTCTCATAGTGACGCTTGACATTGGCACTTTTAATAAGTGCCACGGTTTCGGAGCATATGAGGCACACTGGTTTCGTGCTCGCGGGTGGAAGAATGAACATGTATGCATCAGTCCATTCCGTGTTGAACGCTCGATTTTCGGCATCTACTTTTCTCTTTTTAGACAGCGCCATAGTGTTCGCACCTCTTCTTCCTGTAATTCACGCCCTGTCTTCCTGTATCACCTCCCTGCGTTTCTCGCTTCAATCGCTTTTCGCTCGCCTTTTACCTCCTCTTCTTATATCACACTGCGTGGATGTCTGTGCCTGGCTACAAACCTCTGCTTCGGTTTGCTCATACAACTCGCTCTGAGTTCAAGCTGGCGATTTGATTCGCTAGTTGAACCACGTGGTTAGTATGACTCGCACACGATTGGTTTGTAGCTTCCACGCCTTGCTCAGTGCAGTGCTGGTAAAAGCACTTGTGTCAGATAGGGAAAAAATAAATGCTGTTTAAAATTAATTCTCCCGTCAAAATTAACAAATATTTTAACAATTTTTTCCGGGTCCGGATGGGATGGCATATGGGTCTATATCCGGACCGAGGTCCGTTGGTTGCGGACCACGGCTCTAAAATAATGACATAGCCATCAATTTATTAGGAGGACGGAGAAAATATCAGTAATTAAATACCATCTGCATGAGGAAGAACATGTGAAAACTGATCACTGCGAAACAGTTTGTGGTATTTTTGCATCACCTGTGATTCAAGACAAACCATTCAATGGACTATTATTATTACCTGAAATCTAAAATTTGTTTTGTTTGTGTTTAGCATTGATGGTTTCTACTGCCATCTAATGATTATTCATTTGTGACATTTACTCCACATGAATACATAATCTTATCATCTAAAGTCTAAAGATGTAAATAATTTCTAAACTTTATAGATAATTTTAAGATAAATTCAAAAGATGTTGTTTTTTTCCTATTTTTCCTGGATGTTCTTAATATTTCAGTAAAAATCTACAATGAGATTAGACCGTTTTATTTACAGGCAAAACTCTATACTGTATTTTGAAAAGAAAAAATAAACAAAAGAATTATAGGTCTTTTGTTTTTAAATATGATTCAAATAAGGCAACTTTTTTTCTAAACAGGTTAGTATTAATAGGCATCAAATGTTGAGCAGCATTCAAAACTCATTCTGCTCTAAAAATACATTTTAGTCCAATAACTTAAACTTTATAATTCATTAGATAGAGGACACAGTTTTAGATGCAACCAATTTATTGTAAAGCAAACACGTAAAAAAGTCCAAAAACATCAAATATGTCTCTTTGAACGACACCACATGAGATGAGAACAATCTTGTTTAAATTAATCTACATGTTTTACTCCAAAATTTGGTCTAAGAATAGATGCCTATGATCATTTACACAGAAAATACAGATTGACTACATAAACTCCAGGAGAGTAACTGCAGCTCTATTTGCTTCCAGAAGAAATATATTTTACCCCAGCCATCAATACAGTTCCTAAGTTAAAGCTTTTTTATTTATTCTATTTTCTTTATAAAGCTCCCACCCCCCCCAAAAAAAATTTTTTTTCTTTTTTTTTTCCCCCACCACGATTAGCTTTTGAGACTATGACACCAGAGATCAAATTGAGCTTTAATTCTTAGAACAAATGAAATTCAGTTCCTCTGAGGGATTTCTCTGGAACCACTTATGTTGTCCTCCTGCATCCATGGCTCCAGACATGTCACAGTCATTCTTCCATCTTTCTGAGGCCGGGCTCTGATTGCTGCCCCAGTTCTCCTTACAGACCCAGAACCAGGCCTTCATCAAGCAGTTGTAGCGCAGTCCCATCCAACCATAATCAGTCGAGGCCTTCTTGGCTTTCTCCTGGACCAATCTCTGCTCATCCAGGCTGGTGATGGTGACCAGGTCATGGTAGTGATCTCTGCAGTAGTATAAGGCATCCTCCCAGGTTTTATTTTCTTTGATCAGGATCACTTTATCTGATAGAGAAGATATTGGACCAAGCAAACCAATCTCCATCTTTATTTCAGTTACTTTTCAGACACAAGAACCAGAAAATAAACTATGGACAAATGAATAAAAAAAGTTCACTGTGAACCTGTCATTTTCTTTATATGAGCATAAACAATTTGGGATAAAAATGTATTTTTAATTCATTCTAAGTTCTGTTTTAAAACACACAGTACTAATTAAATACATACATGCATTAACCCGACACATTTCTATCAATGTGGTACCAACTCACCATTATAACAGATGAAGGGTTTTTTCTGATCACAGCTGTCATTCTTCCATCTGCCTTCATCATCAATCCCAGCCAGGGCACATCGACCACTGTTGGTTCCCTCATTAATTGACCATTTATTCCAGTGTCTGAAAGAGAAACTGCTTCCATCTGACCACCTCCAGGTGTCTCTGAACAGACCAAAATATATGTATGTCCCATCTACCACAGACTTCATCACTTCCTCCAGTTCTCCATCCTGTAGCTGCTTCATTCCACTGATCAGGTCTGTGTGTTTCTCTCTGCAGTAACTCTAAGCTTCCTGCCAGGTCTTCTCCTCTCTAATCAAGTGGTATTTCTGGGTTCTATTAGTTTCTGTAGAGTAAACATTTAAACTCAGATTGCATTGCCTTTGTATGAGAAAATACAATGAATGGTATAAAAAGAACGGTACGATCAGACACAAAAAGAACAACTACTGTAAAGTAATTAATCATTCTCACCATCATAACAGAGGAAAGGTCTTTCATGATGGCACATAGTATCTGTCCAGTTAAGATTCTTATTCAAATACCCACAGTTCTCATAACCATTGTTTCCTCTATCAGTTGGTTCTCCTTGGCCCCAGTTTGTCTCCCTTTCATTGAACTCCACTCCAGGCAGAGACCAGTACCATGTTCTGATACCATCTGTCTGATCATACAGACCAATCCAAGCTTCCCTCTTATCTCCTGCTCTGATACAGAGGAGTCTCTTCATGTCTGTCATGTTAGACACTGTAGCCAGGTCAGTGTGTTTCTCTCTGCAGTACTGCTGAGCTTCAGTCCACGTCTTTTCCTCATTAATGTAGTGATACTCATAGAGCTGACAGTTGATGAAACAACTCTGACCTGTCAATGTAAAACAGGTTGCTTTATTTATAAATAAGTAAGAAAGTACAGTAAAACTTGGTCTTTTTATTTTTTCAGGCTGAGGGCAGTTTGCTCTGTAACTGGTGGGTTGCAGGTTCAACTCTCTACTCTGTCCAGCTCAGTCGATTTCTCACTGATTAAATCATCCACCTTCTTTGCTGTTGTTGATGATTCAGTGGCCTTGCTCTTGGCTGCCACGGGGCAGCTGTGGTAACAGTGGAGCTTAACACCATTAACATGTGAATGACTAATTATGAAGCAGTTTGGAAACCTCTGACTGGATAAAGAGCTATATCAGTATTTAATCATTCTGTAATGTAACTGGTGAGCAGATTTTGCTTTGGATTAACTTACCCATCAAGAAGAACAGAATCAGATTCCACTGCATATCTGCTCTCAGATTATTTATTTTCCTTAAAAAAACTGTTTCTCTGTTGTAGGAAAATGAAATTCAAAAACTTGAAATCAAAATTGAAAACTTGCAGAATCCCTCGACTGTAGAGAGAAACACTGCTGGAAGAGCAGAGGAGCTGAAGTCAAACAGGAAACCTAGCATCCAGCAAAAAGTGGAACATTTTTATAAATGATAAAAAAGTGTTGGGTTAGCCTGGAAAATAAAAATAAAGTGCATTTTAAAAACGTTAAACCCAAGAACACAGAATGAGTTCCAACTGACCCCTGCTTCCGTTCTTCCTCACTAAATGGGATGTTCTTTCCTTGATCCTCTACTGAAACTCTTCCAAGTAAACTGTTGGTATCAGTTTCTCTGACCAGCAGCTAAATTTTAACATTTCCTATTTTAAATATTCAAAACAGTGTAGGAAAATGTTTCACACAAAGACTAGTTAGAAAAGGAAGAGATCTATATATCTTTAAAAACCTAGCATCTGTAGTTCTATGAAGAAAACAA